CGCTCCTCTCCTCCCTGCCAAGCGTACTGACTCCAGCCCCATCTGAAAGTTAATTTTAACAAATAACATCTCGGGCCTAGCCAAGTTTGGATCTGGAGATAGGACACGCGGCAGGAAGGGAGCGGGGGGGTTGTAAGGGAGCATGAACGCTCAGCCTTGTAATATGTGTGAGAGCTGATGCTCTCGGAGCAATAGAGCGCTTATTATTATTTCTCTTGGATAGGTCACCTGGGAGTGGAGGAATTTTTCATTTTAAATTAAAAAGAAATCTTTTATAATGCTCATTTCTGAAAGGAAAAGAAAAAAAAACCCCTCATCATGGAAGCAATTAGATGGAGGATACACTGAAAGGGGTGATTAGTTGTTAATTTTTGAGCTGTTGGCCCTGACACAGGGTTTTTTTATCAGTTATTTTTTTTAAGGCGTCTTTCATTTGCCTATAGTCCAAGGTTACTTCTCATTCAATAGCAATTACCATATGTCCATTACATGCTAGAAGCTGCTTGAGGTGGATGCCGTGGTCCTGCCGGCGTGTGCCAAGTCGAAATGCCAGCAGCTGCGCGAGCCGCAGGATAATTGTTCATATCTGTTTCTTCTCTTTCCCAAGTCTCGGTAAACGTTCTAGGGAGTGACTTCCCCCCACTATGATGTGACCTGAAAATATAGCCCTTTGGTTTGCATTTCAAGCTCCAAGTCAGCCGTGTCAAGATTTGAACAAGAATCAAGGAGGATAATGGGTCACATGTAATTAAGAGGCAAAACTACCGGTGAAATAGCTGCGCGTTTCGGTTTTATTTCTTTCTGCCCATCAGATTACAAACCTCCATCCCACCACCACTTAAAAAAACTAATATGTAACTGTGAACCTTGTACAACCACATTATTTGCAACCACACTATTGTATCAAATGGAAGCCAGCTAACTAAGCGTCACAATAAAAAAAAAAAGCACATTGTACCTCAGAAAAATATGGGGGTGAAAACACAGAGAAATGCGGTCTTGTTAAAATATGGACACGGTCCAGTAATGGAATGAGTTGAGAAACTTGAATGGATCAGAGTCAAAAAACACTTTGCTTAATTCTTGGGGTTTTTTATTCGGCATTCAGCTTACATCAGTGTTAACATCTACTGAGAAATGCAGCCATTTACAATTTGCAGTTCAATGTGTTACTTTAATTAGTATGAAAATTAAAGGGCAACTATAGGCCAATGTGAATGATTATGGAAATACATGTGCATCGCATGCAATGCTCTCATTTAATTAATCGTCTTGTAAACTATATCGAGCACTTTAAGTCAGTTGCTGAGTATAACAACTCCATTTTAAATAACCACTTAATACTTAACAGGATGTGGAGAAAACACTATAGCACACGACTGCGTCTCAAGTTTCAGCGTCTGATATTTTTTAAAGCTGACCCAAGTCAACTCAAAGAATGTTTAACACCCTGTATCTGAACACAAGAAACTCTATGATGTACAGACATTCAATTGCATTTTTTTTTAAGTGAGAAACATTTTGTAAAATAGTGACTTTAGAGGGCTAATTGGCAGCAGCAAACTTGAGAGTGAAGGCCAAAGCTAGAGGGTAACTTTTACTACAGTAACGCCAGTCAAGGAAAATGAAAATAAAGGCATCTTTGTTTCTCACTCAAATTAGCTGATTAAGAAATAAAACATTTTAACATGCTTTAAATGCAGCATTAATTATTTATATGAAAAAAAATTAAAGCCAGGTTCTATGAATTACACTTTGTGTGTGTGAATTGAACGTTACGGGAATAGTAATCCTTTTACATTCATGCCTTACTTCATTAGGCAAAACTAAATATTAAGGGCTCTATTCATTCAAAAAATTATTATGTATTCAGGTCACACCTTTTCTATGGCTTTTTTTTTTTTTTTTTAAGAGTACAATTTACAGCACTGATTTTTAAATATGATTCAGAAAAAGCAGCCTGGTTCTATAGGATGGGCACCAGCAAACAGATGGGATTAGAAAAGGACAAAGATACAGTAGTGGGTCTTACACATCGGCATGGAAAGGTCCAAGGTAAGTGGCACTGTATGGGCTCAAAGCTGGCATAATAAAACAGGCAACCGGATGTATTACCAGCAGGAA